GGAGGAGGAGGAGATGGAGATGGAGGAGCGAGAGGTGAGGAGCAGGAGGCCGCCATCCTGGGAGTCCAGCTCCAGCTCCCGCCAGGCCCCGCTGACCTCGCTCGGGGAAGAGGATCCAGGTGGCGAAGGGCGGCTGGTCCACGGTGACGGTGTAGTTGGTGACCGTGCACAAGGACAGCGTCTCGTACCTGCAGGAGGTGCCGTCCTGGGCCTGGGGGAAGACACGGACGCAGGCGGGTGGCTTGGCCTGGGACCCCAGCCTCCAGGACGGGGACACTACATGTCGGCCGTTGAAGGTCCCGGGGCCGATGGACTTGGCCGTGGCCACCGTGGAAGACCCGTAAAGGGCTGTCATTTGCCCCGTGACCCCTCAGGCAGGCGCGCTCTTGGACGTCCCCAGAGGCAGCTGAGCCTCGCTGTCTGTAAGTGACCTGTCCCCTGCCCGTGGTGGGTCGGGCCTAGACCTTGGGTTCTGAGTGCCCTTCCGTCCCCGTGGTGGGTGGAGCCCTGTCACCTGCTGGGTGCGGGGACGCGCTGACCTCTTGGATGTGGTCGGAGTCGGTGATGCAGTAAATAGTGGAAGAAGGTGCGCCGAGGTCCCAGGTGAGGCGGCTCCGGGCCRGGTCCATCCTCAGGTTCCTGATCGGCGGCTCTGGACCTGGGATGTCCCCAGCTGGCGTTAGGGGACACGAGGGGTCTTTCTCCCCTCCACCCACCACGGGTCACCTGGCCCTGTCCTTGGAGGTAGGAGCTGTCCCTGGAGAGGTCACTACCCCTAGCTGGCAGAAGCCCCCAGTCGTGGACGGGGCCCAGGGGTCAGGTGTCCCTGAGGTCCATCCCCACCAAATGCCAGGAGCCCTCGTCCTGCCTCCCACCGCGGCCAGAGGTCCCWCCGAGAGGCCAACCCCCAGGCCACGCGCTCTCCCCCTCCCCCGTGCCTACCCTGGGTGGCGTCCAGCAGGCAGCAGACGGGGGTCAGGAACATCAGGAGCCACGGGGTCCCCATGGTGCACGCAGCTCCTGTGGGACAGGGGTGGGGTCACAAGAGAAGGACAGTCGGCGAGCAGGGAGGTCAGGTGGGGAGGCTGGGGCTGGCTGGGCTCCTTAGGAGTCTGGGTGGGGAGGCTGGGAACCTCAGGAACCTAGGTGGGGAGGCCGGGAGGGAGGAGGCCGGGCTCCTGAGGAACCTGGGTGAGGAGGCTGGGAGCCTCAGGACCCTGGATGGGGAGGCCGGGAGGAGGCTGGCTCCTTGGGCACCTGCGCGGAGGCCAGTCGGTGCGCACGGCCCCACGCGGGCGTCGCCCGTCTGGAAGGAGCTCGCTCTTGGCTCGGGCTCCCTGCCGAGGCCGGGAAGGGGGCAGCCTCCCTCGGGGGCACCCACCCGGAAACGCGGAGGGAGGACAAAGCCGAGGAAGGAAGTGGACTTGGAGGCCGGGCAGCGCCGATGGACGGGGATTCCCGGCYGCACAGTGACCGTAACCGAGCGCGGAGGGATCTCGCTCGGAGCCAGGAGTGTCCCCCCAACGGGGWCCCCCGGAGGCCTCCCCTGCAGACGCGCTCCCCCGGCCTCTCCTGTTGGCCGGCCTCTGGGACCCCTGGGCGCGCCAGCTCCGGGCCTCCAGGTGGGCCTCCGCCGTTGGCCTCCACCGTTGGCCTCCACAGGTGGCCTCCGGGGTGAGCCTCGTTATCGCCCTTGGTTAGACGCTGGTTGCTGCAGGGTCGTGGCGCCCGGGGCTGCTGCTCAAGCCGAGGACCCCACTGGGGGAGGCTGGGACGGGAGGAGGAGGCTGGGCTCTTTGGAGGTGGACCGAAGCCTGCCTGGCCAGGCTGTGCGAGCCCTGGGGGTCCCCCTCGAGGTCGGCTGAGATTCCTCCCGTTGCTGGGTCCTCCAGGGACCGGGTGAAGGGTGGACCGTGGAGGGGACATCCCGTCCTCTGCGGTCTGCGGTCCAGGGAGGCCCGTCAGGTGAGGCTCAGTGCGTCCCCAGGTCGCCTGGCAGCCCCTGAAACCACTTTCTGTMGCCTGATTTAAAATATTTCCTCCAACTGGCCATCCTCCTGCCTCAGCCTCCCAGGTGGCTGGGATCACAGGGGTGGGTGGGCCACCGCCCCCCCCGTGGCCATCACATTCTTGTGGCCATCACGGACTAGGTGGCCTTTTCGTCCTGTGCATGATGTTCTCCCGATTTCGTGCCTGACGAAGCACCTTTCAGAGCCCCATGCCTTTTCACGGTTGAGTAATATTCCATTTTTGCGGGTGGACCTCCATCCCTTTTCATGGTTGACTAATATTCCACCGAGTGGACAGGTCCCATTTGAGCCCCAATGCCTGCACCCAGGGACACGGTTGGATGATTTCCACCTTTGGCTACCGGGAAGGCGGAAGCCACCGCCCATGAGCTGTGTCCCACCTGCCTTTGACAATCTGGCAGACACCGTGAAAGGCCACTCTTAGCTCCCAAGACAGGTGCTGGACATCCAGCCCTGGACGCCCACCCCCGACCCAGGCTGGACCTGCGCCACGTCCCCGAAATACTAGAGGAGAAGCACAGGCTGGTCCATCTTGCCCAGSAGGCTGCGTCCAAAAGGTGGGAAATGTCACCCTGACCTCTGACCTGTCACCTTGCCAAACCCAAAGGTCTATCGCTGGGCACCGAGTCGGCTCATCCGAGCTGAGACTCTGAGCTGCCCTGTCGGGGATCCCGGGTGGCCAGGACGCCCAGTCCCAGCTCACCCAGGTCACATCCAAAGGCCCTGTGGCCAGCTGTGGGTCTGCCCTGTAGGAAGGAGCGGCGTCCCCAGCCCTCTGTCCCTTCTCCCCGGGGGTCAGCGCATCTTACCAGCCCGTGACAGCAGAGTCCTGTTCCTCCTCGGCTCCCACTSGGGTGTCCCCAGCCCCGAGTCTGTCGCTGTCTTTGATTTTCGTTTACTGGAAAAAGTCTCCACAAAGAGAAACCGAACTTGCTGGTTCCCCTCGGGCGTCCTGCAGGCTGCGGGCGGTGCCTCCCGGAGGCCTCGGGTCAGGTCCTCCTGCGGGTCAGCGGCGCGCGGTCCCGAGGCCCAGCGCTGCCTCCTTGCAGAGTGTCATTGTGCCCTTGGGTCCCCGCGCCGCGTTCCTCTTTGTGGCATTGATAATTACTGCTCAGCACTCGCCGCCCGGGTTGAGTAACTTCCTGCCGTCGTAAAAAAGCCACCTGATAAGCACCCAGGGCCCGGCCTCCCGCGGCCTCCGCCTCCACCACCCCGGGAGGAGCCCCGCGTGGCCATGAGGCAGCGGCCGGCCGGGGTTTCAAGGCCAGGTCCTGGCGGGGCACCGGCCATGGGCTTGGCTTCACTGTGTTGCAACGGGCGTGTCCCTGAGCTCAGCAAAGACGTCCCAGAAAACCTCCCCAGCCTCCTCCCTGGCCTCGCTCCCGGGCCTCCTCCCCGACCCTGAAGCCTCCCCCAGGAGCCCGCAGGGGGGATAGTGTCCACGCCAACCTGGACCGAGTGGGGAATGGGGGGGTCAGGAGCAGTTAGCCTGAGACCCTCGTGGATTATCAAGGAGCAGTGTCCTCTCGGGAGGCAGAGGAGGACACGCAGACCCAGAGGACGAGCCCCGTGGAGACTGGAGTGAGGGGCCACCTGCCCAGGGCCACCTGGAGCCCAGGAGCTGGAGAGGCAGGAGGAGCCCCCTGGAGCCCTGGAGGGAGCTCAGCCGGGGAYCCTGGTCCAGCCTCCGCCCTCCAGGGCCAGGGGACTGGACTCCTGTGGTTTGGGTCTTGGGACATGTGGCTATTTTTTTCTGGGATCCTCAGGAATTTTATTCGACAGCCACCTGCCCTGGTCACRTATCCTGCCCCTGCTGGACATGCAAGCTGTCCCTTCCCCAGGGGATGGTCAGGCTGTCCCCCCTCCAGGGCGGTGCGTGTCCTTTTAAGAATCCAGCCGTTCTGCAACGCACACAGTAGGTCTGAAAGGCCAGGGTGCTGCGGCCAGGTCCCTCTTGGCCTGGGACCCTCGGTGCACAAACCATGGTCCAGCAGACGGGGAGAAATGGCTTGTGCTGAGGGGACACCTCAGCCGTGGGCCGGTGGACGGCCACCCGCTGCATGCCTGGCCACCTGGGGGCATTTACAACCTGGTGCTGGGCCGAGACGGGCACGGATGGACAGGGCGGGGCACTGGGAGATGTGGGCGGGGCATAGGGAGATGTGGGCGGGGCCAGGGATGCACAGGGCGGGGCACTGGGGGATGTGGGCGGGGCCAGGGATAGATGGGAGGGGACTGGGGAGATGTGGGCGGGGCCTGGGATGCACAGGGCGGGGCATTAGGGAGATGTGGGCGGGGCAGGGATGCACAGGGCGGGGCATTAGGGAGATGTGGGCGGGGCCAAGGATGCACAGGGCGGGGCATTAGGGAGAT